AGTAACCTTCAATGCTTCGTCTATGTGATTCACAATATAAACCACTGAACTGGACAACTTGGTCTGATCAGCAGCTGCTATGCTACTACTTACAAATATAAAGTTATTGTGTAACTATTCCGGCGTTATGTGAAGAATATGACAATATCATATCATAAAAGATTAGCATTCATTGGAATAGCTATTCCCAGATAAAATAAATTAATCAAACAGTGGGTTACTTGTCAAAACTATTTGAGGTATTACTTTTAATCGCATCTGTGTGCTTAAAATGAACCAATTACAGATACAAATACACAAACTAACATCGATATCAACTGCAGTGGGAGTTTTTTAGACATTAAATAAAGGGCAAAATCATTTTATAACATCTGCCTGTACATTTCAATGTGTTTTCAGTGAGGGTCAGAATGTATTCACTCAACATCTAACCTTCATGATCACAGCATTAAAGTTGTTCTGCAAATATTCAGCCCTTTATGTTATGTATAATGTACAGATGACTGTTCAAGACTGCATCTGTTATGTACTAGTTCATCATGTCTCTATCTAAAATGACCTTGTGCTGATGGAAAAAGATGAAAACATCTAGGACAGGTGTTCTTTCAGCCCGTTCTCGTCATCTAACTGACGCTTTTGACCATACGTCAACATCCGACGTTTTAGGGCACCCTTTAACGTCAGTTAGATGATATCTTGGGAATGTGTTGGTTCTTTCTATGCATTCATCTGAAGCCAACCCCAATCGTCCATAAAAACAAAATGAATTGAAACATAAAAATTAGTCCTAGTGTCTGTTAACGAACAGCAAGGCACAATGAGAGGTGGAAACAGCAATCAGTGATCAGACTACCCCCTATGTAGTCTCAAAGTAACATGCGGTCTAATACATTTCAATACGCTGAAAGCTGAACTCATTAAACAGTTGAGGCAGACTTTTCAACTACATGTCAACTTGCTCTACTAACCTGACCCCTAACATCTAACCAACCTATACTAATACTCTAACTGTACGTTCACACCGCTGCCAACTTGAAGTCATTCATTTTAAATGGAAGCTGGCTTTTCTCAGTTGCAAGGAGCGTCAAATTGGCGTCACGTTTTGGTTTTTTTGAGATTTTTGAGCATCAATCAGAATGTTGAAAGAATCTCAACTTTATGCTAATGAGCTGTGACGCGGTTCAGCGGCAAGCAGCATAGACAGTAAAAGAAATGGACACAGCAACCCCATTGATTTCAACGGAGAAGACTGAAGCCCGATTATTGCACTTCCTGTCTGATGTCTGAGCGACTGCGCAGGCTCAAACTGAGCGTGACGACAGTCTGACAGTTGAAAATCTTCTAGTAGCTGTGCCAAGACAAATCTGAATCACCTAATTCCTCAAAAATGTTGTTGAAATATTTTGTCCCGTTGCTTTTATGCAGCCCGTTCTCATCTAACTGACGCTTTTGACCATGCGTCAACATCCGACGCACATGGCATCCTTTATGAGACGCGCCACCAAGTGGCCTAACCCTAACCCTACCCCAGACCTAAACCTACCCACGTCATCTAACTGACTCTAAAGGTTGCCATGTGCGTCGGATTTAGGCGAATGGTCAAAAGTGTCAGTTAGATGACGCCCTAGCATGAGAATGCGTTGTTTTATGGACTCTCTATTTATGGGCTTCTGCCTTGACTTTATGACTCCATGTCCCCCCGATTGCCTCATAAACAGTAAAAAGATTACCTGCAAGCTTCTCCTCCTGTCTATACGGTAATGTCTCTATTGTGCGACAGAAAGTCCCGTGGTTATGATGCAATCGTTGGCCTATTTTTACAAAAACGGCTTCTGCGGGGCTGTAACATAAGATACAAAGTAATGGAGCGTTTTATACATTGTCGTGTTTCTTTGGAAACAAATAATGGACAAATGAAGTCTTTGGACGTCTCAGATGTAAAGTTATTCGCTGTCAAAGTGACACCAAAATGAATGGGAGTCAATGGGGATGCTAACAACAACTGCTACAATGGCGGCTTCTGCGAGGCTTCAACAATCGGCAAAACGCCAGCAACCAGTCGGAAAATATAGACGTCCTTCGTGCTGGCTGATTCCAGAGAAACATACAATGTAAACTTTAGTTCCTACCAAAACATTTCTTCCGGGAAAATGGAAGAGAAGCTTATAATCGCCGTTGCTGGGTTTCCTACAGGTTTCCTATTATTTATGACATCACGCTGTAAGGGACCACATGAGCGCAACGTTTATTTGAAATATTTACGAACGCTCGTTTTAAAGCGGGAATGCAATTCATTTGCTCACGGTGACACCGATTTGACTGCAAATAATAATAGCTAACTATTCTTTTTTTCTCGACGAAATGTGACCAAAACGGTTATAAAAATGCTGTCATTATAAAAGGTTTCTTCAATGTGTTGTTTTTTTTTTCAACAAGCGTCAACAAGCTTTCCCGTACTTTTTGACAAGCGACCTTGACCATATACTGACGCTTTTGCTTTTTCCAACACATGACAACCTTTAGCGTCAATTGAGACGCAGATATATATGGGGCAGAAGGCGCCTCCTAGTGGTCTAACCCTAACCCTACCCCAGACATAAACCCAGCCATAACCGAAGCTGTTATATTGACGCTAAAGGGTGCCATGTGCGTTGGATGTATAAGCATTGGCAAAAGAGTCAGTATGACGCCTTGGGATGAGAATGCCTTGACAGGGCAGCCAGAGCTTCTTTGACGCTCAAGTTGGCGGCAGTGTGAACGTACAGTTATGAGAGTTAGTTGACATCTAGTTGCAAAGTTGCTTATGTCTAAAGTGGATCATCGAAATAAAGTGTTACCGTCTGCTGTATTCTATATTGTGCAAATTGTGTTTACCACTAGTGTCTTGGTCATATATTAGCATAACTTGGGTGCTAAAACAATGCTAATTGATTAATCAGCGGGTGCAATAAATTCTTAGTAAATTATCTCCCGACTGCCAACCTGTATTATTTCACACACGTCTGATTTCTATATCCCGATGTCATATGTTAGCTTATGCAGAAACCAGCTGTGAAGGTCTTTTTAGCAACACGGAGGATCTTGACGTTATCTACAGTATGTGCTAATCCATTTCTGCGGTGTTCAGAGATTTCAATGGAAAAGATATTCACTACGTGAATTAATTCCAAGAAATGTGCCCCCCCGGTGAGTGATCCTGTAGTGCGATCTGAGTCATGAGGTGACCTGCAGAGAAACACTCAGGTTTAATAGATGTTGAGTGGACTCAGTGACTGACAGACCAGCAGCAATTTCGGGAGTATTCTTAAGTACTCGTTTGTCACAAGCTGTTTGGCAGTGACTCACATAGACAGAATTCAATGGTGTGAAGAAGAAAATCGGTTAAACTGGAGAAAGGGCTTGTATTATTTGCTGGAGTGTTTTGCTAAGGGAATTCTTAGAAAAGCAGAGGCCAACATTTGACATAATACTGACATTGCTATACAATTTGTATTTTTCCTCCTAAATAATCAGCCCCAAATTTACACACCTTTTACATTTACATGGAATCAAACTCTATTTTCTGCGGATGTTGAAATGTTTTATGTGGCTTGGGTGGTCACACTAGATTTAAGAATTATTTTAGACCTGCAATGCACATGGGCAAAAGGATATTACGCAACACTCCAGGGCTTTAATGTTTTGAATACATTAAAAAAAGAATATATTTATTTTTAACATTTCAAACTGTTAATTTAAATTTTAAATTGTGTTATTTAACAAAAATAACAAAGGAGGTATTTGTTGCTGACTTGCGTCTGCAGTGCTCCAATATTGTACAAATGATTCATTAATTAGTGTTACGCTTTGATGATATTTAAAGTAGTTGACTTTAAAAAAAAAAAAAAAATTACTCACCCCCATGTCATCCAAGATGTCCATGTCTTTCTTTCTTCATTCGAAAAGAAATTAAGGTTTTTGATGAAAAAATTCCAGGATTTTTCTCCATATAATGGACTTCAACGGGAACCAAACGGTTCAAGGTCCAAAAGACAGTTTCAGTACAAACTGCACACTGTTCAAAGGGCTTTAAACAATTCCAGACGATGAATAAGGGTCTTATTAAGCGAAACGATTGCTCATTAAAAAAAAATAATAATAATAACAAAGTTTAAGCTTTATAAGCTCAAATGCTCGCCTTGCTTTGTTCTGTGATGCATGCTCGTGACTCTCCAGTTCGAACTCGTTCATCAAAATGAACAAATCTTTTCCTGAGTCAATTCGTTCATTTCGTTCGTTTAATGAAACAAATGACACGAAAAAAGATTCGTTCATTTTGATAAACGAGTCTGAACAGGAGAGTCACGAACGCGCATCACAAAATGTTTTCATCAAAAACCTTAATTTATTTTCGACTGAAGAAAGAAAGACGTGGACATCTTGGATGACATGGGGGTGAGTAAATTTTTAGCAAAAGTTTTTTTTTTTTTTTTTTTTAAAGTGAACTACTCCTTTAAATGTGCTGTAAAATACTTTTTAAATATTTTTTAAATATCACACATACAGTGTTGCTATAAGCTGACAGATATCACAATGTATGTTAATATGACATTGTCGGTATTGATTTTTTTTAAAAGTGTTTAAACCGTTTTTCAATAGAGTGCTGAAGTGATGACGCCACTTTGGCAACTCGAAAGTCAGCGGCGCATGGGTTCCCTCAATCGAAAAGCTATGCATTTTCCCTATAGACTTTTGGAAAATCGCAAAAAAACAAAGAGTTGTGACCCTTGTTTTGTCTATCAAGATAATGTAAATAAATTTCAAATGTATACATTTTGAAGCCTATATAAATTTTAAAAGAACACAAGCAGACACAATAAAGTTCAAAAAACACAAGCAGGTTATAACTGTGTGTTCTATGTCATAGATCAAAACGTGAAAATATTTAGAGGCTTTGTTATCCACAGACCTTATTTCAGGCGATTTAGCAAAAACCCATTCAAAAAACCCATAGACTTTAGAGCGAGGGAGCCTGACGTGCTAAAATGCTAACTCACTTCCGCGTTTTGGCCTACAAAGTGACGTCATAACTTCGGCAGTCTATTTGTGCTGTCCTTTAAGGTAGAAGCGAATGATTATACAAATTTGCAGGCTAAAAAGAGTTCACCAAACTTAAAAACAACATAATGCGAACACAAAATCTAATGTTACCACCCCTTAAGTTTTCTACTTACTGTAAATACAGAGAATGAGTTTTCTACTAGCGAAATTAGAGAGCGTGACACTGCAGATACCTGTGCTACTAGATATGCAAATGTATTTTTATTTCCAGTATGAGTTAGCCTGCTAATTTTCCAGCTCAATTAGGGTAAGAGTAAATGACGTAGGTCAACAACATTTTAAGTGCACTGATATAAAGCCACTTGTTTCAGAGCAATTAAAGTTTACGCGACCCACATTATTCACAACCAGATACAGGGTGCTTGGGATCATTTGGATGTAGGTGACAAAACACCAAGTTTTCGAAATTAAATGCAGCCTTTTGCCCTTATGCTAATTGAATTGGTTCACATTATGATGCTAAAAACAAAAGAAACAACTGAATCGGTTTTCAATACCAAAACTGGGAATCCAACAATGGCAGTGTTTTGACAATCTTGTTCGGTATCATAATTAACCATTCATTTTTTATCATATCTAACATTGAAAAATGATGAATGTCTATCATTAACCCTACAACACTTCCTTTTTTCTACAGTCTACAGTTGCACTAAACTATTGGTTAGTACAGTGTGTGAACACATCAGAGGAAAAATGGTGTAACAGAAAGGAGAAATGTGTATCTCAGAACACTGACAATCAACATTTTCTACTGAAATATGACAGCCGTAAACAATAGATTTGTTTATATTTTATGCATCTTTGTTTTTGAAGAAATGCCATGTGCTTTCTGAATAGCACAAGAGCTCTTATATAATGAGTTCTTCTGTTGGAAAGGCACAAGCCCAGTGTTTTGTCAGGATATAGCGCGTTGCATTGCTACAGGATGCTTCAGGTGCACACGCTCTGGAAAGTCTCGACAATTGAGATGAGAAGAACTAGAGACACGTTTGTCCTCACACCGACACTCTGTGATTATCCGAGGAAGCTTACGACATTATACTTCCTTGGTAACGTTCTGTTATGTACACGATTCTGAGAAAGAAAAAAAAAACTGTGTGTGTTTAGGATTATCTCACAAGCTTTCAAGTTGTTGCGAATCATGACGGTGGTCCCATCTAGAACGTTTGATTGCATCGACTGTTTCGTGTTTGAACGTGTCCTCATCATATTGACGGACGGCCTTGTGACAAACTCATCACTACAAGGCAGATTATCCATTTGCATTGTGACGGAATGGACACAGAAAGAGTTCATTTGAGTAATGTTACGCTTTCCCTTTCAAGTCCAATGCATGCCTTTTCCATGCACAACCGCTCAAAGACAAACAGCACACATACAGATCTCAAGCCAGACCGTTCGGTCAATCCTTCCAGAAGGACGGGCTCCTAATCCACACTTCTTCCTCGGTCAGGCTTCCTTTGTTAACTTCGTTCCCACGCATCCACTCAAGACCTGGGCTCGATGAGCCCGCTGTTGCGGCCCCGTTCACACGGTCACCTCGGTCTTGCTGTTGGTGACAAAGTACGGATGTGGAGGCAGGTAGTGCTGACTCTGGGCGGACGTCAACTCGTTCACTTGCTCCATGGTGGCGCTGTGCCTCTTGGGGCCGTACGTCTGCCGGCGGCCCAGCGTTTCTGTCCCCTCCCAGCTCTTCAGCATGCCGGGGTTGGCGATGGTGTTCGAGCCGAAAGCCAGCGGGTGGGAACTGTGGATCTTGGTGCTTTTGGACTTGTGTCCGTTCTGCTTTTGGCAGGGCAGCTCCGGGCTGTAAGGGTTGGTGGGCTCCTGCTCCACACTCACCGAGTGCATGGGAAGAGCGCCTTTCACTGCCAGGTCGGCTAAGTGCCGTCTGTTAGTGTAGAAGTTTTCGTTCGCTTTTTCAGCTGGAAAAGAGAGATAGAGAGAGCAAAAGCGAGGGAAAATTCAACACTTCATTAGTCAGATGCAAAACAACAACAACAACAACCTGATTGCTGATTTACTCCCCACTAGAGAATTACACATTTAATAGATCACTTGTTTTTCCCATTTTTCTCAGATAACACTTGACCCGATCGTTTCCTTCAACAAACGACAAAAATAGTAGTGACATTCTGACATTATTTACTCACCTCCATGTCATTCTGAACCTGTTTTTTTGAAGAGCTTCACGCATACAGTATTTGAAAATAACCAAACGTGTACACATACACTCAAAGGTTTGGGGTCAGTATGAATTTAAAGGGATAGTTCACTTTGAAATTAATTTTTTGATATGTTTTAGCTTACCTCAAGGGCATCCAAGATGTAGGTGTCTTTGTTTCCACAGTATTTACAATTTTGATATATTTAGGTCAAACCGTTCCAGCCCGTTCTCATCCTTTAGCGTCATATAGAACGCTATATGCAAAAACGGCGCTATAATACGCACATGGCACCCGTTTTCGTTAATATAACACGCGAACCCAAGACGTTATAAATCCTTTAGCGTGAATATGACACGCACACCCTACCCCACACCTAAACTTAGCCCTCACAGCGCGTGTTATATTAACGATAACGGGTGCCATGTGCGTAGTATAGCGCCGTTTTTGCATATAGCGTTCTATATGACGTTAAAGGATGAGAATTCGTTGACCGTTCTTGTACATGGGGTCCACCTCAAAGAGCATGCACAAGTCCAAATTAAACGTGATTTAATGACTCGTAAATGTAAGTACACATTGATGGCCTAAGACACAAACGAGCGGTTTGTGTGAGAAAACAAACAGTATTTATATCGTTTTTACCTCTTGTAACCACAGCCACGTCCAAGTGATCTGAGGGCGAGGGTGCTTCTCTCTGCGCAAGCGTCGGAAAGCCGCGGAAGTGATTTCTCGCTTGTGTACGCCCTCATTGTTTACACAGAGATTTCAGAAGTGTTACCCTTCACTGTGAAGATCTCAATATATTTAGATATACAGGAAATTGCAATGGAAGATGATTTCGATATATCAACAGACAACGTTGAATTTTTTTTTTTTTGCAACCGCGCGAGAGATCACTTCCGGCGCTTGCGCAGACCGAAGAGCGCCTGCAGCCTCAGATCACTTGGACGTGACTGATTACAAGAGGTAAAAACAATATAAATACTGTTCGTTTTCTCCCACAAACCGCTCGTTTCGTGTCTTAGGCCATCAATGTGTACTTACATTTACGAGTCATTAAATCATGTTTAATTTGGACTTCTCTGTGCATGCTCTTTGAGGTGGTGACCACACTCAAAAAAATAATTTTAGCTCTTTGTTCAATTTCATTAATTAAAATGAGCATATACGACACAATCCTTCATAGAAGTGATTCCAGCTTAATTTCATTAAATGTAATAAATGTAATCTTTTAAAAATTTGGTTTACCATTTTTTTTTTAGTTGAGTCAACGTGAATATTTTTCATTCGTCTTAAACGGATGTCACTCAAAAAATGAATTTTGGCCTCTTATAAAAATAAAATTAATTAAATAATTAATTAAAATAAGCAAAAGTAACATGATTGCTTAATATTGTGACAACTTAATTTAATTGTGTTCAATCAACCTAATTCATTTGTGTGAAATCTACATGAATCATTGTTGTTGACATCTAACTGGGCAGTGGATCTGTAGTTCCCAGCATGCTTTGCAAGGGACTGCATTAAGAGGGTAAATTTATGGAAAAAGTGTTATTTTATGTGTTTTTCAGTAAATGGAAAGATGTTGTTAGTTAATGTTAGTGTTTTATGTTCAGTTATGTTAGAAAGTTAGAGTACTTTCTGTAATGTTTTTGAATTTTGGGGTTACCATTATGCAGAAGAGTGTTGACTGTGTTTAGGTCAGTATTGTGTTCAGACTCAATAATAATATGTGCTTTAAACCTCCTGTTCAGGCTGATATATAATATTACTATGTAAGAAATAGTTTAAAAGTGTCTGTCATTAGAAGTGATCATAGAGTCAAAATAACTAATATTATAATGTTGGTGAATTAAGGCAGGACAAAATTAAATGTAGTTAACCTGACAACTTTATCTAGTAGGAATGACTAAGTTAATTTAAATTCATACAGCATTTAAATTTGTTGGAAAAATGTAATTCAATTTCATGGAAAACCTTTCCTTAATTTAATGGGCTCTATGCACGGCGTTATTTCCGGTGAAGGATTCTCGATAACTTCCGCCGATCGTAGAGTCCAATGCAATACAGAGAATTTATATTGAATTTTATCAGGGGCGGAGTGGGACCAAAAAATCTACCGGGAAACTTCGTAGACCTCCGGCCCTCGTCGCCGGCACGATTAGCCAATAGCATTTACGGTTTTACTGATTTAAAGGGAACTTTGTTGTACTAGTATGCTGGAGTAAAGTTCATAAATGGTCGTTCTTTCCCATAGTACTTTCTAAAAGTAGTTGGGTGGACTCTGTGCCTCTAGGGGGGTTCGGGGGCATTCGCCCCCGCAAGAAAATTTTGGACATTTTAAGGTTATAATGCATCAATCTCATGCTCTCTGAGAGATCGAAATTAAGACCCATGAACTGCTCGTTGAACAAAGAAAAAACGTTAATTTGTACCAGGACAATAAAGAGGGCTCAAATATTTTTTTAGTTATGAGAGTCTCAGTCTGCATTACATTATCAATGGTGTTTTAGGATGCCAAACAATTATTATAATAATGTAATAATGATTTATAATTATTCCTATGACGTACTGTAAAATCCATTTATAGCCTATAAATGTGTAAATGAAAATGAGTATTTCAAAAGTATATTTTAACCTACATTACACTATAATATAGGAAAATTAAAATACTTTTGTCCTAATTTCTTCACTTGCAAGAAATAAACTCTTGAGCTTTTATTTAGGAGAAAACCAGATGATCGCGAGAGCAAAGTAATCACGCAGAACAAACTGGATGCTATTCTGTCAGTTATTATAATGGCGCAACGCCATATGGTTTCAATTTTAGTTCGTTGGCAAAATATAACATAAAATATAAAATCTTTACATATCTGTGTTGGGAAAAGGGAGAAGAGAGAGTTCGGCAAGGCGGATTCGAACTCGCGATCAGCGCATCAAAAAGTTGCATTTAAACACTTCACGTCTTACGACCTACGCCACTGAGGCTGTTTTATGACGGGTGTCGTTTTGCAGTAAAGACAGGGATTTAGTGCAAATATATGCTCCGTTATAAAAAATGTAAAAAAAAAAAAATGTTTTCTTTCCTTAGCTTGGGCCATGGCGAACTTCCAATAAATACATTTTATCAGACCGGGCCGGCCCTCGCGGCCTCGTAACACTACCGGCCCACCGGGAAAACTCCCGACTCTCCCGATTGCCACTCCGCTACTGAATTTTATACTCCATGGTTATACTAATGAAACGTTAGTCACAAAAACAGATAAAACAGACACCCCTCGTTGTGTTTATGCTTCTTTTTAAAATGATATTAAATAAACATAACTAAAATTACATCTAAACGTATGTACGTTTCGTTTCAAAGACGGGAGGACAGCAAATATTGAAGACTCTGCCATAATCCCGTTTTCTCCGGTTTTCGCTTTAATCTACACAACCGGAAATGGACGAGCATCCTTACGTCAAATGCGGAACTTATGCGTGCATATAGCCCATTAAGTTCGTTCAACAGATTATTTTTTTGAGTGCATAGACCTCCATTATATGTCTGACAGACAAGAACAGTTTGACCTAAAAATATCAAAATTGAAAATACTGTGGAAACAAAGACACCTACATTTTGAATGCCCTTGAAGTAAGCTAAAACATATCAAAAATTAATTTCAAAGTGAACTATCCTTAAGAATCAAATTAATCAGAGTTAAATTAATCTAAACTTTTCCAACTTGGGTTTGTTTACAAAAATAACTTGTGAAATGTAAATATCTAAGAGTGCCTCAAATATTTATAAGAGCAGTTAATGCTCCATTGTGATTGGCAACCAAAATAGTTGTGAATGCTTTTCCTTTCGCCTAAGGTTTCTATTTGTTACAAGTAAATGTGTTTCTTTGAATGCAAAGTAGCCTGAATAGCTTCTATCATCAAATGGAAACAACAGCTTTTGCTCCTCCAGAAGAGGGTTTTTATTTATCAGTTGAAACTTTTTTTAACCAGTAGTAAAAAAAAAAAAAAATCTCACTGTCAACGTTGCCACCATTACTGTAATGTTATTCTTGGACAATAATGTTTAAAACAGCAACCAACAGTTTCCTTAGAAAAAAAGGTGTTACTGCAAATACAGTATTCAACATTAAAGTGGATTAAAAAAGTTAATCAAAGTTGTCCTAAGACAAGAACGGGTATTGTTCAAAATTCATGTACTGTATAACTGTGATGAAAGGTTTTGATCCACTTCAAATGTTGACTCCTGTATTTTATTTTATTTTTTTTAACCAGTGCTATTCGATCACTGACAGTGTGAATCACAACTTGCAAGTACCAGATCATACAAATGAGTATAAACAATCCTAGCGTGTCACAATTCATTTCTTTTTCATAAATTCCATGAAATGTCACTAAGGGTCTATCACCTTCCAACTCAGCCAGGCCTTAATTGGGACTGACTACACTCTGCATGAAATCCACCTCATTTCAGCATGACATTTTAGACTTTTTAATTAAATATCCTTCAGGTGACCTTTTTAAAAGCATTGACACCCCAAATAGTCACAACAAACCACAGATCTAAAACCTCATACCAGGAGGCAGAGCGCAAAATAAGCCAGCCGGCGAAGAGAAGTGCTGATCTTTGATGCGACTCTTTCATTAACATCAATGCGCTGAGATTAACGCACACCAGAGGAACTACTGGGGGCTTCTCCTCGGCTCGCCGTGTGGAGCGTCTCCTGGGCCTCTCTCATTATAAACTGTCCTTCTTTTTTTGTTTTCCCAGGGATCGGTCTGCACAGACTGCATTTCAGGGGATTAGAAACTAAGCAGTTTCATCTGTGGCCGATTCATCACACGTCGCTACTTCTGCTGGTTATTTGTCTACTGATTTCAAGCTGTCATCTCACTGACGTCTTTCATAGGCTTTACTCTGATGCCAACTAACTGATGTGAAAAGTAAAAAGTGACTATTACTACCCAATGTCACTACCACTGTAAAACACAACTTAAATAATTAATTAAATGATAAATGAATGAATTAAAATGATCACAAATCGTATGAGCATCTAGAACCTTCTGGTTTCTGCTTTTAGAACAAGTTAACAATATCAGCTGGTGCAGTTAGTCATTTCTGAAGCACTTCTAAAACTTAAGTTACTGGGAAAGAGTAATGAGAGTTTTCAGCTCTCCTGACATCAAAATCTGAATACAGAATTTCTAAAATAAATTTCAGAGACAAGACTTAAGCCTAGCCCAGAACTAAAATGCATATTTGAGCTGTTTTAACAGAAAGCAACTTGCACTGGCTTATCTTAAAATATGTCAGTGCTATTGTTTTGTCTCTAAGGCCTGTTTATAAAAGATACTTAAACATCTTAATTGAACTAAGGTCTTATCTAGACTTAATATATGTCCTGTTTGTGAAACCAGGCCTTAAACTGCCAGGACATACAATTAAAGAGCATATTGCAGGTAAAAAAAAAATCGAAATTAATATATAAGCTTGTATGAAAATACCATATGAAAAGTAAATGCAGGATTTAAAACGTTTTAAAACGACATAAGGGCACTAATTTAGTAGATAAAGTGAGCGTTTCTTGGACTGCTTGTAAAAACGGCTTTTTTTTTCAACAGCGCGTCATTTTACGTCATGCTAGGGAGCCGCCACCCGCCCTCGGTTCAGTGCAGAGTAGGTTGGTATTCAGTGAGAGCGGTCGTAAGTAAGTTTGTTTTCGGTAGTTATTGTATTTTAATTTATCATCGTCATGGTAAATTATTGTGTTTGTGGAGGTTGCAAAAACTCCGGCCTGTCAGGACATCGAGTCCACAGATTTCCTGACAAGAAGAAGGACGGTGCTGTCTTTCGTGCCTGGGTGAGGTTTGTGCAGGTGAAGAGACGGGATTTTTCTTCCGCATCGGCTTCTAAAAACGCGGTCGTCTGTAGCGTTCACTTTAGATCGGAGGATTATCGTCCGGGCGATTTGATGGAATTAAACATGGGATACTTTGCTAACTAATATATGATTGTAATAATCAATATTATGAGCACAGTGTATATCGTTAGCGATTGTGAATTTATCTAAGCTAACACTGTTCTCTCTCACCAAGACACCTGTCCTGTTCTCCACCGGTTCTCCTCACACCACAACTCAATTTGTCTCCTCTGACCGTTCTGTCTAACATTAATCCTGGCCTGTTCCTGATCTCTTGGCAGCATAGCAGGCTCATAATTGTACGGCTGTGGTCCGTCATACGAGTAAATATGAACAATTTCTTCAGCGTCTGAAATATCACCGCGATCCATTGTTTTGCGGTTTGAATCAGCCACTGGCGGCTGGCGCTCTCCCGCTAGTAACGTCACGCCCGCCACGGCCATTTTCAGATGCGGAAGTAAAATTTTCTCACAAAAACGACTCTAGAAACTTCTGTAGCATATTTGTACGAATATTTTAAAGAAAATCTAGTTCCTACATTATTTTTCTATACATTGACTCGTTGGGTCCTCTAACCTGCAATATGCCCTTTAACATTTGAGCTAGTTCTTTTAGGTTGGACAATTATAACAGCAAATATATTCAAACTCATATAAACATTGCCAGTATTAAAGGAGTAGTTCACTTTAAAAATAAAAATAAAATAAAAGTTTTGCTGATAATTTACTCACACCCATGTCATCCAAGATGCAGCCCAACCCCCCCCCCCCCCCCCCCCCAAAAAAAATAAATAAATAAATAAGTTTAAGTTTTATAAGCTCAAATGCTCGCCTTGCTCTGTTCTGTGTGACTCTCCTGTTCGAACTTGTTCATCAAAATGAACAAATCTTTTTTCCGAGTCAATTTGTTCATTTCGTTTGTTGAATCAACCAAATGACTCGAAAAAAGATTTGTTAATTTTGATGAATGAGTTCGAACAGGAGAGTCTCAAACGCACATCACAGAACAGAGCAAGGCGAGCATTTGAGCTTATAAAACTTAAAATTTGTTTTTTGTTTTTGTTTTAAATGAGCGATCGTTTCGCTAGATAAGACCCTACTCATCGTCTGGAAACGTTTAAAGCCCTTTGAACAGTTTACTGTCTTTTGGACCTTGAACCGTTTGGTTCCCATTGAAGTCCATTATATGGAGAAAAATCCTGGAATGTTTTCATCAAAAACCTTCATTTCTTTTCGACTGAGGAAAAAATGACATGGACATCTTGGATGACATGGGGGTGAGTAAATTATCAGCAAAAGTTTTTTTTTTTTTTTTTGAACTACTTTAAAGCCTTTTGAGCAATGACCATGCATTGGGAGAACAATACTGTAACAGTGCACTAAGTAAGGGACTATAAATATTGACATACAGACATTATGTGAAGACAAGACCCCTATGATCCAGATCTAGACCAATATGAGACCAGTCCGACAACCAGATCTCAGACCAAGACCACATGATCAAGAACTCTGACTAAAGGTGGCCATTCTGAAGACTTTGTATTTTAGAGTAATGCACAACAAGAAACGAATGCCATGTTGAATACTTGATGACTTGCTTGGATTTCATTTGTAATTCCTGACAATGGTAGATTTATGGAAGCCAGATCTCATATAGATACAATAACATTTTTAAAAATGAGATAGTGTTTGTTTTTCAGAGGAGAACAGGCTTTGATCAAACCCATATACTGGCAGGTTTAAGAATGGCCGCTTACCCACAGCCTTGAGCGAAGCGTACTTGTTGAGCTCCTTTCCAGCTTGAGATGGCTCATAAGGGTGGGCTACAGGTACCTGTCCAAGCGAAGGGTATTGTGTCATGGCTTGCATCAGAGATGAACCAGACCCCACACTGTTCATTTGGGCACACTCTAAAGCAAAGAGACACAAAATAGAAACGAATGACCGATATGAAAGGTAAATAGGTTTTCTTTCTAAAATAAAAGCAATACCTCAAGTGGTGTCATGTCTATCTATTTAATTGTATTTATTTATTTCTTGAAGGTGAATCATTGGTCTTGGCTCATCTGGTGATCTTACTGACATAAAACATGAAGACAGACAGGACTAAAAAACTTTTCATTTCTTTGTAGTTTTTCATATTAGAGCAGGAATTGTTAGTTCAGTGATACAGAAATAGAAATGAATAACAGTTAGAAGTGGTAAATCACACTCTGTTATCAGTAGACTGTTGGAAGTTATTTGCTTAATTGTACTAAATTTAAATAATGTATGTATGTATGCATGTCCTTTAAAATGTAGCTTAAGCATGTACACACACACACACACAAACTTTAATGACACACTGACCAATTTAGACCCACAATGCGAGTGGGTGATTTCTTTTCAGTTACCAACAATACCCATACAGCTTAAAGCCATTTTGTTTGGAGTAGCATTAAAAATCCACTTGAGGGGGCACAAGCATCTGAATGACTCTTACTTATTGTTTGTGTGCGAGCATTACACACATTATTCAAGTAAGGCTAAATGCTGTATGAGAATCTGTTGTTCTTCAACACATTATCCCCCTCAGAAGTCTTTGTCACTGCCGTTTCTTTTGTTTAAGCTCATAGCAGTAAGGATACCTCCCATCAGGTACCGCTAAATTAACATTTAACAATATCTCAAGCTGCTTGAGGCCTGTTGCATCGACCCATCAACACAACTTGTGAGTTTTCTCTTTGGTGATTCACTCTATACCCCCAGGAAGCAGATCATTAGTCATGGATTTCTGGAGCTCCAGCCAGGCTCTCCTGGGCTACTAATCGAATCCGTTTGAACTGCTAATGTCAAAACATGTTAATGCCAAAAGCACTGGCAAGCGATGGTCACAATGGAAAATTAATTGTTTGTTTCACAAGTTTTCACACTTGATTACAGCAAAGACTTTCCTATTGAGGGCCGCAGATGGCGTAAATCATAAACGCTTTTCTGGAGATTGCATTAGTAGACATCTGGCCAGCTGAATGGGGGCGCAGGAGCATGGCAAATTGACTGGCCCTTTGCCGGCTGGCATGAGGGGCCAACCAGATGTTGTGGGTATTATCTCTAACCACTCTGATGAGTCGAATGAGACAGAGAAAGTACAGCCAAACGGCAGAAAGGAATTAGGAAACCACAGAATACGTCCACTTCCTTCATTGTGAATGAGTCTGTTTGTGTCCGTGATGGTGACGGTTGTGCGACGCTGCAGCTGATCTTCTCCCGTTCTTCAGACGTGTTTGAGTTGTTGAACTCTCCTTGATCTGTTGTTGTCTTGGAAACCTCTTTTAAGTCTATTTTTTCTCGCTGGATGCCTGTTCGCTACAAGATTGTACCATCTGTATCACAGGACTTACTGAAGGGCTCTTCCTTGAGCACACACTTCAGGCACTAGACTGACGCCAAATATCAATATATCAAATATCAATGTTGAAAACAGTGCTGCCTTATATTTTTGTTGAAACAAAATTCTTTCCAGAAATGTTAATATTTTGATCCATTTAATGTGTTTTTGAGGAATACATCTGTATCCTTAGTCTTCATTAAATCTTAATCCTACTGAGCTTTTGAACGGAAGTGTATTTGGCAGACACTTTCATCCAAAGCGACTCACACAGCATTGAAGATATATGTTTTATTAGTTGATGATCTTGGCATTGCTAACATGCTCCACTGTTTGAGCTGCCAGCGTAAAACTAAGCGGAAATGAAGAGCATCCATGTTTGTGTTGATAACGACACTACTATTTCTCATTTCAGACACTTCTGACAATCATCTGGATTTGAAGAGTTCAGATGCAAAAGCCTATATGCCATTTGAAATTTTCTTCTTTAATGATGATTTTTATCAAACTTGTATATTTAAGTTCAGTAATTTCACTTAAATAACAATTAATAGGTAATTATCTTTGCCATTTAAGTGAAATCACTGAATTTAAATATACAAGCTTGATAAAAATTATCATTCTAGAAGAAAATTTCAAACGGCACTTAGAGGCTTTTGCATCTAAACTCTTCATTTAGTAATATACATGAAATCAAATATAGGATTAAAAAAACAAACATTTTTTATTACATTAGACGTTCACACGACACCGTTTACACGACAATCCCATTTTCAGGGCCAATGCAAACTTTTGAAAATGAGTTTCAAAGTGCAAGTTTTTGAAAACGACACCATTATCATCTCCGTGTAAACTGTAGTGTAGCAGTAAGAAATACTGTATGATCCCAAGCGGTTTTCAGAATTGCACAAATCAACACAATATAACAATTTGTCATCATGAAAAACGTCATGTTCCTTACAACAGACTCAAAGATTATTATTTTTTTTTTTTTCGAAGCCTTTGTGTTCAAAGGATTTCACATTTTCTTAAAGGAAGTGAAACGAGACTTTATATCAGAGGAGAACATTCTAAAATTGGTTCTGGCTTTGTGAAGATGAAATTGAGCCAGAAGACAAAGTAATAATGTATTATAAAGATTAACATCCTTAGAGTGAAAATCGGACCAAAAAATGATAGATTGTGTCATTTGTTTCTATAGGCATGTGCATTCGGCTCGAAAGCACTGTGGTAAAAGAATACGTGTGTGCCCAGGCGTGTCGTCTTTTATAATAAAGTGGCATCACCAACTCCTTGTGTGGCATGAATAACACAGCCTTATTAGTCGTTTTCGAGGTTCCATGTGAACGGGATCATTTTGATAACGTTGTCCTCTGTACAAAGGAAAAACGTTTCCATATTAGCACATAGTTTTCGTGTATGTAGCCTTACTGGATTCAGGCTATACAATGTGTCACTTCATTCATTCCCTGCGAATCAAGCATGATCTTTGATATTTGCCTTTGATTCAGCCTAAAACATTTAACACATACTGTATGGTGGTAGAATTGGGAAACACTGGTCTAGATGGATCTAGTTCATAAACCTTCCACTAATAAATAAGATCTTTCTGTGTGATGAGCAACAAACAACAGTGAGATGTAGATGTTACAAAATTGAGTATTTTCTGTGGTGATAGTTAAGAAACTAAGCAAATCATCTTTTGATTTATATAATCAATCGCCTAGATAATTTGAAAGTTTTAAAGTTAATTTGAAAGTAATTTGAAAGTCATAAAGGAAATGACTGTAACCATAAAGAAAATAATCCCAGACAATTAGAATCAGTTTGACAGTTCAGACTCCAGTCTCCTAAACATGAAGCTCCCAGCATCAGTTAAAATGCTTATGAACCAGGTGTGCAGAATATCCAATTGATTGTGAGGAAATTAATTACGCTGTGATCCATAATCTCTTAGGCAGTAAGATTAATTCCATTTCGATAATCAAAAGAGGGGATGGAAGCAAGTCATTATGCAGTGGAACTGTAATAAAGACAGGGTAAAGGTCCATTTGCAGAAAATGAAATGCCTGTCCTGCGGTTCCTGAATGATTATTGGGCGTCTCCAGAATCAATCCTTCAGACGCTGAGCTTAACCTAACGCAAACTGCTTCTTCACACCAAACTCCTGAAATGCTGTTTCTGCAGACTCAGTCTAACTCGATTGTGGCATCCACGAGGTCTGGCAGAGCAGCTGTAGGCATGGTGGCAGGTAATGGTTTTTAATATCTGCTGACAGTGACGAATTTTCGTTTTGACAAGGTCATTAGTCAAACAGGGTATGATACTACTTTCTGCTTATTAGTATTGATGCAGAGAGACACGTGTGGCATTATACAAGACACAATGCTGATTTACAATTGATCCACATTATTACCATTACCCTGAGGTGTACGCTTCATATTTGGACAGACAGACAGACAGACAGACAGACAGACGTCCCTCCTCTGTCTAAATCAAATATTTAACCAGCTTGAAAAAAGCACCGGAAGGTGGAAAAGAGATGATTCCTATTATTTGTGGCCCACAAACCATCCTATCTTTCAGATAATTGGATTGGCTCACTGCTTATACTGTACAATCACACCCTATGAGAAGACGCACCAGAAACGGCATGGGAATAACTAGCCTCTGATTCCTCATCTGCAGAGAGCTTTAATTTCTTTGGCCTTCTTTGTAGCGTTGCCATGCAACCTCCAATCGAGTAATGAGTAGGCTTGATTTAGGATGCAGTAAGGACAGCGGTTCATCTTTCAATTGTCTGGTCCCTCATTTGGGTGGACACAGTAGAAAGTAAATCTTTTGTGGAGAAAAATCATTCTATGAAACTCACCAACTGCCCAAAATCTTAATTCCCATTTTTGTCTTGTGTTTTTAAGGGAAACTATATATAAACATCCTTAACTCTTTCCCCATTGGCGTTTTTTTCTAGAAAAGTAGTCAGCTTTTTAACAAAACTTTCATGGCCTGTAGAACTTTATTCTTGCTTCATTCTTTCTTTTTATGAACCCTTGAATGTGGGTAAGTTAATATAAGTAATAAGTAAGTTAAAATAAAATCTTGTTTTTATCAAAGACTTCGTCTGGATCTGATTCAGAACGACGATCAACACACAGATGGAGTAGATCGAGTCCATCAACACCCCCCAAAGCTTCACAGTCCTACACCTCATCCTGGGTCGACATATCATTCAGTAACATTAAAGCTGAAGTCCGTAACTTTTTTGGGTTAAAAATGATTGAAATGATTTGGGTAAAAAATGATTTGGGTTAAAAATGATACACTCACCTAAAGGATTAGGAACACAATACTAATACTGTGTTTGACCCCCCTTTTGCCTTCAAAACTGCCTTAATTCTTTGTGGCATTGATTCAACAAGGTGCTATAAGCATTCTTTAGAAAAGTTGGTCCATATTTATAGGATAGCATCTTGCAGTTGATGGAGATTTGTGGGATGCACATCCAGGAGACGAAGCTCCCGTTCCACCACATCCCAAAGATGC